AATAAATTAGAATAATGAGTTGAAATCCCATGTATTATGAACTTGACTTCTTAAAAACCTTTTGTTTTTTTTCATATATATATATATTTCAAAAATATTTTCGACATTTTTTGCAATTCCTTAGGGTAACTTATTTTAATATTTCAAAACAAAGACAAAAAACTATACGGCTAAGTTAGAACAACAAGTTAAAATGATTTTGCGTTCTAAAAACGTTTTTTTAACAAATTATTTCTTAAAATCTTAAACATCTATTCGACATTTTTGCAATTCTTTAAAGTAACTTAATAATATTTTAAAAAACTATACGGCCAAATTAGAATAACACGTTGAAACCTATAGTATAATTAACTTGCCTTCTAAAAACATTTTTTTAAACATATTTAAGTCTGTAAAATATAATCAAATATTCTGGGGTTCCTTAAGGTATAACTTATTTAAAATAGGTTCAAATTAGAATAATGAATTGAAATTCCAAGTAATTTGAACTTGCCTTCTAAAGAACTTCGGCGCCGCTTCGTTTTTCATCCGCTGTTTTGGGCCTCGATGTAGAGCATTAACTTCTTGGAGCGGTTAAATTTATCAGACTTTGCTTCTATTCACATCGATGAGTGAATAGTTCAGACTTATGGTCTATATGCGTGCTGTGTATCCACTTTTATAAGCTCAGTGATTGTATCGGAAGCTTGTCCGGTAGATATATCAACATTTCGATGAGTATTTTAACAAGGTAGAAAAGGAAACAATAATAGTACTTGCGACTAGTATCATCCTCAACCGAAATAGCTGGGCCAGGAGAAAAAATGAATGAATTTGAAAAAATTAGGAAAACAATGGCACACCTACTCTAAGAGAAAAACTCTTCAAGAAATCATTCTATTTATTCCAAATTAAATGTAATGAGATTGAGATACACGAGCAGTGATAAGGAACGTTATATAATTGGACGAAGAATTTTGGAGCCAAAAAGGACACGCTCTATAGCTAGACGTAAACACTTGCTTATGCACTCTTCTTATCTTGAAAATGAAATATTAAAGACTTTGGATGTTCAATATTGCCCGTTTGAGAAAATAAAATAAATTAAAGTTAGAAAGGGAAAAAAAAAGTGTTTTTATTCATCGAAAAATTAGAGCTACAGAAAGAAAATATTTTTGTTGGTGTTTTTGTTTCGAAAGATAAGGAAATGTTGGCTGGTGTTATCTAACCGACAGATTGCTATTAGTGGACCTTGGATGTAAGGCTTTCCCATTTAAGACCCATAGTCACACTCCTTGAGCATAAGTTTTTTTGTATAAGCTGTATTCATATTTATGTCTCTTGTCATGCGCATCCGTTAAACAAAGAAATCATACTTAGGAAATGACATATGGCATGAAATCGGAAATGACGCCCGGCCAAGGTAAAGAGGTTCTTAAGAATAATTACAAAATTATGTTATCAAAATCTGAACCTGAAATAATATATATCAGCAGTTATAATTTCTTATCGTTAAACTTACGGGATTTTGACAAGCCGTAGAACTATTATTGTAAAGCTTTCATGCTAAAAGCAGAGAAGCGAAAGGAGTGGTCATGATCAGATATCAGAGCTGGCAAATCAGTAAAAATATACGCATTTCAAAAATGATATTTCACTTAGTCTTATTATCATGTTGTAACCAGCTTATCCCCATGCATTGAGCATGCTGTCAACCAGCTCTCAAAGGACCTATTGTTACCTATGGATAACTATTTGCTTTCAGCTTAAAATCATCGACAACCAAGATGTATCAATAATTTCAGTGTTTTCCCATCACAGGACAAATCGCCTCGTTTTTATTTTTATGCATACTTGATGAAATTTAAACTAGAAATCTTTATCTCATGGTATTTGAAATGGGAGAACATTATTTCCTCGCAAAAAGAGATAATTTTGAGGAGTGTTTTTCTGCCAAATGGGTAAAGAGAGATCTCAAGACATCAGCACGATGTTGAGCTGGAGCCAAAGTGTCATTGATCATTGGAAGTTGTATTCCAATCCAAATGTTTTGTCTATTGATATGGGTGTATTTTAAAAGAGAAGAATAATTGCTTTTACTGATACCTTCAATGAAAGGTCTGTAACGATGTTTGCAAAACCTTAGTTATTATTATTGTTGTATGTCTTTGCTGATTTCCTCGAACGAACGAACAAGCCTTGAGTCAATTTGTCTTCTTTTAAAAGATGTCAATTCCTTTTCATTGACCGCTTTGTATCATTTTTTAAAAATCCGTTTTGTTTTGGACTTTTTTYGATAGTCGCCGGGGGATAACTAAATTTCGTGCTAAGACCAATGACAGAAGTAACTGCAATGTAGTAATAAGAGTTAGACATGAACTGGAATACGTGCGATGTTGCGCATGATTTCAGTTCCTCATGATTAGCTCTATAAAAAAAAGCCCATGGTCATTTCCTGCCTTGGTTTGCTGTAGGCCTAAAAGCTTCCCACAACTGATCTAAACGAAGTCAGCACTAATTGATGTTTCTATTTATGTCGACAAGAGTGTCTTTTAACTCCTACATTGAAATTGGATTCGTTAAAAAGTGATTGAAAATCTCAAAAAGGCGATGTGATTATGAACTACATTCCGAACTATTTCTTGATTTTTTAACTGGTTGAACTATAAGAAAACGTCTAAACAATCTACACCCGATTTGCCTTTAAAGTAGAACCGCCGACTCCAAATGATATTATGGTCTGTGTTTTCTTCATAGAAATAGCCA